TGCGCAACAAAGACCCAAGCAGCCAAGAATAAATAAACTTAAAAAAATTTAAAAATAATAAAATAAAATAAATGTAGAGTAAGCAGCACTTTTCCTGGGTGGGTTGGTTATAAGGAGCTGCCCTGGATGTTCTTCGGGACACCCATGATTCTGTTGTATGAAATTGTATTTCTCCCTGCCAAGGGCACGTCGAGGTCACAGAGACTCTGTGTGGTGGACCCCATGTACGTACTGAGATGCACCTTTCAGGGCTCTTTCAAAACCGAGACTCCCACTCCCCAGGTCACACCAGCCGTGTGACAAACAAAAGTTTTGTCTTTCACTTGCTTTCAGTTTTTTCATTTTAACTGGTAAATGTGTCGATGCCAATACAGCTGTGGAAATGCAGGCTGTGCCCTATTTTGCCTTCTGCATCATCAAGAAAATGGCCAGCTCACTCTGGTTCCAAAGTCTTTATTGTGATGATGCAGTCAACAGAAGACAGCCTGATGTGCCGTCGCTGGGCAGGGCCAGTGGTGGACCCAACTATTGTCTTGAGCCACTGTATTGTCGCTGAAGGAAAATATGCATAAACTACCAGCATACGGTCGCCGCTGCATGTTCACTAAGCTTTCAGACTCTTGCCATTTGCGGGATCTTGGATTTCATTTCGCACAATCTCCCACACAAGCAGAAAGCCCTTTCCTGAGCAGCTATGACTCTTTATGAATTCTTCCAATATTGGGGGAACTTGCTACTTCTAAACTAGGTACTCCGCTTAATAAAAAATAAACTTTTACTAGATTTTCCTTATACTGGGACGAAATCTGCATCCTTATGAGGCAGGAGATAGATGGGTCCCAGGCTGAGCAGCTGGAGTTTGTCCCCTGTGGACAGATACTCCAAGATAGAGATAATAGCAGGAGGCTAATAGGAGAGGCTGAGCCCCGCCCAGATAAGAGATAGGGACCACATATTTCTCATTCTCAAGGTCAAGGAGACCTTCCGGACTATACATGTGCAGAAAGCCTCCTTGGAAGTCAAAAGGGGAGTGGTATCAACCTACCCATAGGCCTATCCACTAGAATCCATCTTGACTAAGAGATGCACATGCACACATGGGAGGACCCTGAGATAAACCAAATATGGACTCAGAACCAGGCAAAGCAAGATGATTGGCCAAAGGAAACCCAGAAGAAATGCCCCACGTAAGTGACTTAAACTACCACCCTCTCTCTCAGTCTGCCCGTGTGTCTATTCACACGTACTCTCTTTCCTCCTAATAAACACTTTGTTTTACTACTTTCCGTCTTTGTGGGAATTCATTTCTGCAAAGTCAAAGAGGCAGGGTCTTGTCACTGGATATTGGTCTAGTGGCTAGCATTCAGCGCTCTCACTGCTGTGGCCCAACCTTGATTCCCGCTCAGGGAATCGAAATCCTGCTTCAAGCCGCTGCAGGCCGAGGCCACCCGAGATCACTTTGACTTTGTTCACATTGGTTCCAGTTTAGTCCCAAGGTTTAGTAGATAAAAACCCAAATTTACAAGTGTGTGTAATAGTTTGTATATGACGAATAGGTGACTAAAAAAATGGGATCACTTAAAAATTATTCAAGTAAAATGCAAAATGAATGTGTATGGTTACACTTTTTAGATCCAATGGAAACTTCTGATACGGCTGAAATGATGAGATAGCAAGCCAATCACAATGTATGCAGTAGCTAAAGAAGGGGGACCACTTTGTGAGCTCAGGAATGTCGAGCCGTGACATTGTTAATCTGCTTGGAAGGGTGGAGGTTCATGTGAAATAGCAAGTCTCACGGCTGGTGGGAAAAGAGTAGACCTTGAGTTCAGGATTTGAGAACAAGAGTTTATTTGGGAAGTGACTCCAGGAAGCACAGTAGGGTGGTGAGGAAGAGAGAATGGGAAAGGAAGGCAGCTAACAAAACACATGTCATCACACGGATCACCAGCTGGAGGTGATCCTGGAGGAACGTTGAGAAACAGCAAAAAACTCGTGTCTCAGAGCTATCCCACCCTAGGGGTGAGGGAGCTGGGGTATTTATACCCCGACTCCTGTCAGTTGTGTGTAAATAAATGTTTTCACAGCTGGTGGGAAAAGACTAGACCAGCAGTGTCTTGGGGTGTGTTCTCTCAGAGGCACAGTCTGAGTCAAGGATTCAAGCACAACTGTTTACTTGGGAGTTGGTGGAGAAAGTAGCAGTAGGAGTACAGGGACAAGAAATAGGGAAGCAGAGGTTGCTCGTGGGGTGTCAATGTCCTGGCACTTCCAGCCTGCCTCTGGAGCAGGGCAGAGTGGCCTCACATGGTTCTGGCAAATCCCACAGACACAGAGGTGGAGATTCCAGAAGTTGGAAGTTTTCAAAGCACTCACGTGCACGCACATACACATAGACGTCACCTAGAACTCCTAAAAGTGATAACTCATTAAATAACTCATTGAAGTGAAAAAATTGATCATGTATTTGTGTAGCAGGCCCACCATTGGAGTTTTCAATCACAGCCACCCTAGATAAGAAGTCACCTTGCCAAGCTGAAGCCTCAGTTGGGTTCTGGGTCAGCCCCTGTTGAGCTGTAACACCTTTTGGGAGTGTGGGCAGGTGTCACCTTTCCTAGCTCTCCTACATCAAGTTATGAGGATAAGATGAGATGATATATACAGAAATCCTTTGAAAAGTAAAAAGCATAAACAAAATTGAAGGCATAGGGCATAATAGTGTGTGCCCAATGAAACAAGCATTTTAGTTCATATTTTAGAGAAATTATATTTCCTTTAACTTGAGACTTTCATCAGAAAAAGAAAATGGACAGATCATAGGACATTTCAGATTTTCTCTGGAGTCTCATTCTTTGCTGCTGTTGATGGGAAGATCGCAGCAAAATGTGCTGATGACTCTTTTCTTAGATATAATGAGCTGCTGACGATTTGTGAATCCATTCCTGAGTTATTCGGAAGTCTACAATAGTGCTCCCTAGTGACAACTTCGTAATCACCTTTGCATCAGTGAAAATAAAGCTGGATTTTCAGAAATAAACAAGGCACACAAAATAACAAGAGAAGTTTTCCTATCTCCTTTACTTACCATCCTGTTCTAGATCAACTAATTTTAAGTAAAAATATTAAAGGTGGTAGAGAGAAGTAAGACTTCTTTCAGCTTCCATATCTCTGGGGCTTTTTGCTAGACAGAGGTACTAGATAGATTATGTGTGTTTTGAAGTCCAGGGTTCAGCCTAAATTTTGAATTTTGTTCCTGCCCATAAAGTTTCTAAGATGGGAACTTCCCAGTCATTCTATGTAACCTCAGAGCCACTCAGAAACATACTGGAAAGGACTATATCTTTTCAATTTATTTTTAATAATGACAACAGTCACGGGGGGAGGAAAAACGACTTCAATTTTTTCAAAACTTACTCTGTGTTTGGCACACAGACCTAAGGACATCATGTAGATTCTAACGTTTAATCTTCCCAACAACTCTTTGGGTTCGATACTATTTTTATCTCCATCTTAGACATGAGAAAACTGAGCCATAAAACTTATTTAGTGGTGCCTTTGAGAAGAATTTATATTGTGTTGATATATTCGAAAGTGACAGTGATAACTTTTTGTTCAGGACTGTCTCATGCTGAAAAGTCCTTCAGAACTCTCCTGTGTCTCTGCTGAGAAGCAAGGGCTAGCCAGCCTTCACCATTAGACAATAAAGACCTCAAAAGCTCTCTTTCGGGAAGAGCACGGTCATCAGTACAAAAGGGAATCACCTCTCCAGCTTCAGCTCTGCAAGCTCTTTGTAACGACTGTGAACATTCAGACGAGCTCCCTGCACTTGGTTTCCCGTCCAGCGGATAAGATCTGCCAAACCCACACCTGCCGTTGTTTAGATCAACAAGTCTTCTGCTTGTCAATCGTATCCCCAACACGCTCCTCTTCCTGTTTTTTGAACAGTCTTGGTAGAATCTCTCAGACACAAGAAAGCAGAGCAATTCAAAATGCCCCGATTTTAACCTGGGAAGACTCAACTAGGTGAAAGGCCAATCACAAAGTGATAATAATGACCGCTCAAGATGATGGTCCATGCTGACTGAGTGCTAACTTTGCCCAAGACACTGAATAAAGCCCTGGACGTGAGTGATCTCGGCGAGACCCCACGTGGGAGGTATTACTACTATTCCTATTTTACAAATGAGGAAACCCACATTTGGAGAACTGAATTTACATGCTCTCCTTGCATCTGCCTGATTTAAGAACCAAAACACTTAACCTCAAAGATACTCATGGATGCAGGAAGACCTCATTAAATTAAAATACCAAAATTTGAGATGACCTAGTTTCACTTGGTGAAAACCCTAATACAGACATTATTTTAGAATCAGTGCAAGTATTGACTACTTGCAATAGACCTGTATTACATAATAATTTGTTGAAGACATAAACACAGAAGCTCTAACTGCTGGGATTAAAACTTAAAGGCATATAGGAAAAAGAAAATATATGTATATATATACACACATATGTATAACTGAATATATATGTATATGTATAACTGAATCACTTTGTGTACACCTGAAACTAACACAACATTGTAAATCAGCTATATATTTCAATTTTTAAAAAAATTAAAAAAGAAAAAACTTAATATAATTTCTCGAGTTCTTGACTTGAAAAATTCACTCATCATATTCAGGTTTTGTGTTGTACGTGTGTGTCTGAGTAAACTCCTGAAATGCTATCAGTTATTTCCCCACAGCTTACCTCTAACAATGAACATCCTGAAGGTAGATGTTCTGAATTCAGGAAACCTTCAGTGGCAAGGCTGCAGTGCACCCTTGACTCCCTGTGCTCACAGATACATGCACAAGGATGAGATGGACCAGGAACTACTCCTCAGAGGGGACTGGAGACAGAGCTATAGTAGGTGCCACCTAGTTCCGGCACTTAGCCAAGAGCACAGCACAGCATGTAAAGCTTGAATTCCTGACACGCTCCTTTGACGGCCACTGTACCTGAACTTCCTTGAACGCTTAGCTCTTGGGGTGGCTCCAGGACGTCATCGGGATGCGGGGTGCAGAGTCCGTGGAAGGGCCCCAAGTCAAAGCACTCATGCAGGAGCTGCATGTTCACTCTCGAGCACACGCTCATGAACCCGACGGCTACACCTTCCACCTGAAACGTCCAAAACATCTCATGACTGTCCGACCTCAGGTGAATGCTCATCACGAAACTCCCAGGAGCCCCAGCCCATGGGCACCTGGAGATGTCTGAGGGAGGGAGCAGCCCTAGTGTCCAGAGCAATGCATGGCATACAGGACAGGCTCAAAAAACGATGCCGTGGACGACCACTGTGGGCACTCCCAGAGGTGGGTATATAACTTAGGGAGGCCACCAGGATGTTCTTTAGGGAAAACTCTTTGGAACTTTGCCCAGACAACGTCCCTGCCTGCCCCATATCCCTTTATTGCCCCACTGCAAGCCCAGCCCTGCCATCCACTCTCCTCCCCTCCACAATGCGGTTCTCAGGAAGACTGGCCATTGTTCCAGTGGCCATCTGGTTGATCCTTGGTTCAGAGAAAGTTCATGGTCTTTCGCTCATCATCAGGTAGGAATGCTTCGATCTTCTTAAACTCATTTATTTTTTTGATTGGATGGTCCCACGGGGAGGAGATGTGAGGAAGGAGGTTTGGTGGGAAGCTTTGAGTGAAATAAACTCATTGCACCTGTTCACCAGATGTGTCTGACCTACAACTGCATCACCTCCCAGCACCCTACCTGATTCTGAACCCCTTGCAATGGGCCTCATCATTTTAGGCCTTTGATGAGGAATACATAAGTGGGAAGATGAGGGTGACAGTGTGACATAATATTCAGTCTTCATCCCTCACTCCTGTCACAAAGCTCCTAAAACACCTGTAATTTCCTGAGAGGAGCATCTTTTGTTTTTCATAATTAAGTCCCTTTCAATCACACCTGAGTTTACACTAAAGAGGTGACTTTCGGAGCATGGGAGCTAGTTACCAGAGGAATCAACCTTGTGATTAGAGGGTTGGAACTTTCAGCCCCGTCCCCTCGACCTCTGGGAAGGGGAAGGGGGCTGGAGATTGAGTTCAACCACCAGTGGCCAATGATTTAATCAGTCGTTAATGGAACCACCAGAGAAACCCCTAAACGATGGGGTTCAGGATCTTCCGGGCTGGTGAACACACTGAGGTGCTGGGCAGCGGTGAGCCCAGAGAGGGCATGGAAGCTCCCCGCCCCCTCCTCCCCACCTCCCCCCACGCACTTCTTCCATTTGGGCTGTTCCTGAATTGTATCCTTTACAACGAATCGATGATGGCAAGTAAAGTGTTCTCCTAAGTTCTGGGAGCCCTTTCCAGCAGATTGTCACACCCGAGGAGGGGGTCATGGGAAACCCTGATTTATAGTCGGTCAGTTCAAAGTACAGGTGACAACCTGGGTCTTGTAACTGGCATCTGACAGGGGCAGGGGACAGTCTTGTGCGCCTGAGTCCTTAAACTGTAGGGCCTGTGCTAAGTCTGGGCTGTGTCAGAAGTGAATCAAACTGCAGGACACCCAGCTGGTGTCTAGGAAGCTGAAGAGTTGGCTGGTATGGGAAAAATGCAACACATTTGGGGTCATAAGTATTGCGAGTAGAGGAAACAACTTATCTTTCTGTGAGTAACTAGCTGAGCTGAGCCTATTACTGGTACTGAAATATTATAAATTAACAACGAATTTTAATTCTATCAAATTTTAATACCACATTGAGAGATGACTGTGATTGAAATTCTTTATTATGTTCTATCGGTAATTCTGTATTTCATTCTCTGCAAGGAAAGCATTTAGAATTTTAAAAGAGGCGAGAGAGAATGCAGAGTTCTTACGTAAACTAATCTTATTTGGTGGTAATTATTTTGCGATCTGTACATAAATCAAAATGTTAGGTTGGACACCTTAAACTTATACAATGTTATGTGTCAATTATATCTTAATAAAACTGGAAAAAAAGGAAAATAAATAAATTTCACATAAATAATTCCTTTGATCATTATGTGGGTTTTAAGCAAATTCTGGTGACTGATTTGACTCTGACAGCTCTTATAAGAAACCAGCATTTACTGGGCAGGTGCGATCCCACCAGAATTCACACTTTATTTCTCGAGACAGCCATTCCATCCAAGAAGCAGAACGCAACAGGACTTCCCTAGTGGTGCAGTGGTTAAAAATTCGCCTGCCAATGCAGGGGATATGGGTTCAATCCCTGGTCTGGGAAGATCCCACGTGCCACAAAGCAACTAAGCCCATGTGCCACAACTACTGAGCCTGCGCTCTAGAGCCCACGAGCAACAACTACTGAGCCTGTGCTCCACAACTACTAAAGCCTGCGCACCTAGAGCCTGTGCTCTGCAACAAGAGAAGCCACCGCAATGAGAAGCCCGTGCACCACAACAAAGAGTAGCCCCCGCTCATCGCAACTAGAGAAAGCCCACGTGCAGCAACGAAGACCCAACACAGTCAAAAATAAATAATAAATTAAAAAAAAAAACAAACTCAACAATCACCAGCATTCCCTGTTCCTAAGAAGGCAGCATCATTCCATAAATGCCCAGTCAGAGAAAATGGTTAATACTTGAACTTCCTAAAGTAGAGAAAGAAGCTACAACACTCCTTTAAACAACAGAGGAAAAAATGAGGTATTTAACTGTTTGTTCTCAAATGTTCTCTTCTGGTTTAAAACCACTTGTTCTCAAAGATGTGTTTGAAAAGTAAAGACTCCCTGTACTTTCTCCCAAATACTGGAATACAAAAAGAATTTTTTAAAAATTGATTTTTTCCATGCATATTCTTTTCTTTACACGCTCCCCAAAATACTAGCTGTAAAAGGCTGGATTTACACAGCTGTTTTCTAAAGCCATCGACACTTTAATAAAAGTCCAAAATACACGTTTTAATTTTTTTCCCAAATAACAAGTGATCTTTTGTCTTGTTTGCGCGTGTGAACAAAGGCTGTGTAGCCACAGTTGTCTGGCTTCTCTGTAATTTTAGGCCCAAGACTCAGCAGACGCTGATTAACCAATCCCTCTACCATATGTGCAGAGAGAGCCGGCCAGCCTCCCTCTCGGCAGGGAAAATTGGCATCCATCTTTGGTTCACATGGAGATGTCCTTCTCATCTAGAGCCACGCTGGCGCGCTGCAACTTCCATGGCCTGAAATACCTTTTGCTGGCTTCATGGCGAGCTGCATGTGCATGATAAGAATGCATTATTTATAAGACCGCTGTTAGTAATGAGCTATTATACTAATGGCTCGTCATGTTTGGAATTTGATTCAAATGGCATGGATCACACATTCTGATGAAAATGAGAAAAACACGTTTCACCATTAGGAACAAAGATTTCACGTTCTCCAATTCTGCAACCTGTTATATTCCCATCTTTCATCTCGGGACTGTGACAATTCACAAAAGTTAAGAATGATCGACTCAACAGAGCGAGGACGTATTGTGGAAGTGTCTGCTTTTTCCTTTGGGTTTCTTTGGGATGACGGTTCCGATTTGAGAAACACTGTTCTTAAATATGAATTTGTAGGAGTATTCAAATGCATCTTTGTGTGTGTGTGTGTGTGTGTGTGTGTGTGTGTGTTTTCTGGAAAAATAAATTGATTTGATGGACTTTTTTTTCTTGTACAGTGAAAAGGCACTGATTGTTGGCTGCTGTCTGTCTTCCAGGTAACCAATACTTTCCACCACAAAGGTGCCTTTAATTATCTCACATTGGAGCAAACTGGGAGTTTGTCGTTGTCCTTGGTTTTCCCTGAGGATCCATATGATGATGCATAAGGCTCAGATCGCTATAAACCACGTGTGCAGTGGCCACACCTTCACAAGCAGGACCATTTACAGGCCCGTATGCACTGCATCGTTCCTGCTTCCATCTAAAAAGCCCTACGTCACCCGCCCCTTCTGGGTGCCCTCATCATGACCACTTCCAGCTCTGATCCTTCCTGCCTGATGTCAAAGGCATGGCTGCGCTGGCAGGCTCTGCCCCAGTGCCTCCTCGGACCGCTACTGCCCACGCCACAGATGCTGCCAAGGCAGACGCTCTGCCCATCTGTCTCTAGGAGCTGCCCTTGGCCTCCAACCGCCCTGCCCTGAAATCGCAGTTTGGAGTAAACACCAGATGTCAAGGTCAGCCAGGATAAAGTTATGAAAAGCAACTTGCAGCAAAGTGATGACTCAGAACTCCTCCAAAGTTGCGATTAAGTCAAAGAAAGTGCTCGCAGTTAAAAACCTTTAGTTGAGGGCCCCCCAACGGTGCAGACATGGCTCTCAGGGCATCCACATCCATGGCCTGTGACTGCCATGGACGGGTTTGGGAAGGGACAGGCTTGGTGTACTATGTCCCGTTATCTCTGGTCACCTAAAAGTATAGTGTGCTGGTTAATGCCTAATCAGCATTGTAGGGGAAAGCTTAATTGTAACACTTGCCAATTTCTGTGGTGTAAATATTCCCGTTGCAGCCCATTGTAAGCTCTTGGTGTGATGTCACTGAGTAGAGAATTGGGAGAAGATGCACAGTAGCTGTAGTTACAGTATTTCCACTCTGCAGAGACCACAGATATAAATGACCCCAAGAGGACAAATAAGAGTAAAACAATTAAAAAGTAATGAATTTTGAGGATTTATTAATTTTGTTTTTAGTATAATTTACTACACTGTTAGTTGATATAACTTAATTTTTGACAACGGCCGTGTTTAACAAGCAGCTTGCCAGTTCCTAAAGATTTAGCAACTGGCTCTCGTGAGCCAAGGTGAGCGAGCTCCAGCACACTGCTGCCAAAAGGCAGGTCTGAGGAAGCCCAGGTCGTTGGGAGGAGGGTCCTGGCAGGTAGGTGGTAGGGTGGTGACTGCACTGATCTTGAACCCAAAAAGGCTTAAGACACCTGTGGGTGTCTTAAGGGCTTGGTGAAGACCAGAGTTTCACTCCCAGATTCTAGGCTGGTTTGCTCACTGTTGACAGGTCCTGTTCCTGCCCTTCCATTTAAGGTTGAGGCCCGTGGTCACATCTCCATGGGACATGCAATCTCTGATGTCTGAGGCAGCACGGCCTCTCAGAGATCAGGCTGGACTCCGTTTGTGTCTTTGGAGACACCAAAGGATCCCTGCGGG